AAATTTAATTTTCTGAGGTTGTTTGTTTTTTAATTATGACAATAATATAAAGAAACCAATTTATAAAAACTAAACACAATGCACCTATAATGTATGTTTTAGTTATACTAATAAACATAATCACTTACTCTTCTGCGTTTATTTTATGTCTGTCTGATACTACTAATCTGTATGTGGGTTGAAATATGTCATTATTTATAGTATGTGTCATCGTGGCATCGTTTGTATTTCTTTTAAAAAAATAATAGAAAATTAAAAATTAATAATTATAATAGAACAATAAAATACAAATTACCTGCTATTAGACAAATCAATGTTTTCATCATTATTTTGATTTGAATTATTAGAATGATCCAAAATCTATTACAAAAATCAATGAATAATACACCATAATTATTATTATATTTACTTAGGTATGTAATGTAAAATATAATTTGATTAGGGCGGCAAATTTATTATAACACTTATTTTTTACAGCGTATGGCCTATTTTAAAATATGTTGAAAATTGTAATAAATGCCTATGCCATATTATAACGGTAAAAAAATCTGCCTCTAGTTATTTATATCTATAACATTACAAGGTATTATTTTAATTTATTATAAAAAATAACACATAGATACCTGAATATCGTTATTCTCTAAGGTTTTAGTAATTTTGGAATGCAGATTTTTCAAATTATGCCTTGATTTTTTCCGTGGCGCAGATCATTTTGGACGAGTTTTTTTACTGAATCGCCAATCACTCATTTTGTATAAATGTATTATTATTTGCAAATGCATAAAATGAACACAAACGTTAAACGTAGTGAAACACGTCACTAAATACAAACTGGTGGTAACAACTTACTATTTTCATTGATTATAAATATTATAGTATTATTATTAGTAGTACCTATTATTATTGCTACTAAAGTATTTTAATCAATGGTATTAATAATAATTTAATAAGTAAAATATATCATTTTAATTTCGAAGAAATTCGAACTCGATAACAATAGATTTTATATCGCCCGGCTGCGGGCACACGGTTCAATAGCACACGTACGCGCATGCACAAGTCAACGTAATCACTCTCGAAAAATATTTTTGTACACTCACAACAGTGAAAAATGCTAATAAGCTGGCGAAAAATACACATACTTCTAGTAGTCCAATTTCAATTTTGAAAAAATATTTGAATTCGTCAGCCTCTTTCCTATGATTTGTAGGAAACCGATTTTGGATATTTTAGATAATTTACATATATTGCGGTTCCAAATGACTGCTTGATTTCTTAAATTTAACTTGCACTTTTAAGTGCTAACTAGACAAAAAGATGAAAAAGTTTTTCCTACAGATCATAGAAAAGAGGCTAACGAATCCAAATAGGTATTCAAAATTGAAATTGGACTACTAGAAGTATGTGTATTTTTCGCCAGCTTATTGGTCTAAATGCATGAAAAATCCAATCGTTTAGAGCCGCCTTAAGATAAGTTATCGAATATGTTGGAAGATAACAAGCAGTCGTTTATATTTGAGAATTTATCAAAATCGTTGATTGTAAATTGTAATGTTTAAAAATGTATATTAATTAATTAAATAATGTTTTTAATCACTAGTTAAAGAAATGTGTTTTTTATAATATTTATAAATTAAAAAAAAAATATTTAAGCGCATATATCAGGATTTTTAAGGGCATAAGTGCATACATATTTCGGTAGTTTTTGTGTATACTTCTGGGCCCTATAGTCATCATATTATGGGAAATTGGGATTTATCAATAATATTTCGTAATTTCCTATAAGACTACAAAAAGGGAAGATATGTTTTGTACACTCGTTGACTTCTCATATTATGTCGTGTCTTGGCGATGAGGGTTGCACACGGTGATAACTAATATGCATACCAGTCACTAAGCATGAGTTAATAATATATAATATTTTTCTATTTTTAAATAACAAAAAAAATATTTTAAAGGTAAAAATTTCCAAATAATTTGGCCACGGGCCCCGGGGTCCATTGCTACGATTTAACGGGGGCCCGGGGGTTCTTTGCACCCCTAGCACCCCCGGTTTTTGCGGCACTGAATTAGGTACCACCTATTTAGTAACTAGAATTACGATTACTGATCGCTAAAGCACGGATTTGTATGTTTTTACATTTTTTTTCCTTTTAATATTTTGATTTAACATTTTAAGGGGACTGCAACCCACGTATTTTTCATACGTTTTAGACCAATAAGCGGAGGTAAATTACACATACTTCGGAATGTCCGATTTAAATTTTTCATACATGTTTGAATTCATTGATAAAATATCTAGGTTTCTTAGGAAGCCGATTTTCAATATTTAAAATTACCTTCAAATAACCATTTTTTTTTTTTAGAAATCCCATGAAATAATTGCATTACATTTGTATTTATTTTGGGCACATCTGATTTTAATTTAAAAAAGTGATTCCTAAGAAGCATAGCCTAGGAGTTTATAAATTCAAAAATTTTTTCGAAATTACAATCGAACTTCCGGAAGTATGATTAACTTACTACCGCTTTTAGTAGTTTTACAGTCATGCAAACTAGAATATATTTCATTTTTCGAGACGTATTGACACGTGCGTGCTCGAGTTGCTTCCGACTCGACGTGCAGCGATTCTCGGAAACGATAACGGATTACGCTCACTAATGTTCATTTACTACTCACACACAGATACGACAGTATTAATTTATATGTCACATGAATTGCCTAAATAGTACTCCTTAAAATATGCTACGGTGCAGCCCCCTCATAACAATTAAAATTCACTACTAAATTTTTATTTTGCATTTTTTTGCGTATTTTACTTAAATGCATATATTTGGCTATAAATGCATATTCCGATATTCGTTGCATATTTTAATGAATGTGAAAAAATTTAAAACGGTAGGCGTATTTCCCGATCCTAGTACGTTTCAGCGCGGCGGGCGGAGCCAAGACCTTTCTGCATGATGTATATATTATGTTTTTACCGATCCTAATCTGATTCAGAGCGATGCGCTGAACCCACATAGGGTTCGTAATTTTAATACAAATACTTAAAACAAAATATATCATATTACATTTTAACATAGTACATTTTTTTACTATCAATATATTTTATTCAAAAAAATTAACAATAACTACATATTTCTGTTTTTATTACTGTGTTCGTCACATTATATTATAGTCATAATATAAGTATTACTAATGACAATATTATAAGCAAAATATTTTTAATTAGGCTGAGCGTTGTGATATAAAAATGTCATTAATCTATATAAAATGCAGTACTAATAAATAATAAAAAAATAAATAATAATAATAATAATATAAGTAAAATATTTTAATCAGGCTGAGTTACATGCAGTGTTCTGTGTTATTGTATAAAAATGTAATGCTAGTGATGTGTTGCATTGAGTTTGTTTGCTTGTATATTTGCTCCTAAATTTCTTTTGACTTTTTTTTTTTTTTTTAATTGAATTGTTTCGACTTTAGATGGGCGCCCTGCTTGAATACGTTTAGATCCTTTAGTGAGTCCAGCTCTATCTTTACGACGTTAGATTGCAGTTGGTTGTACACTTATATTTTTTTTCATGCTTCGCTTGCCCAAATTGACTAAAAGAGTTGATAACTGAGCAGGCGCTTGTATTTTTGCCAAATTATTATTAGTTTTTTTTCAAAAAATTTAACATTGATAAATCTTTGTTAGTTGTGACCAAATTGCAAATTGAATTGAAATTATTTTTCAATTGTTGTATTTCGGAATCATATTGTGTATTTATAATATTATAAATTTATAAATTAATTATATTTAAATTTATATTATTATATTATTTATATATTTAATATTGTATATTATCTTGATGGGGGCATTGTTTCACTTTGTTATTATCATCGTTTTCTTCAAAAACAACATTGGTTGTATTATTTAGATTTGTTTCGTTATTCAATTGGATTAAATCAATTAATTTATTTGGGTACGTCATATCAACAAAAAAACTTTCGTCTGTTTTATTTAAATCACCTAGAGCAAGTTTGGCCAAGCTTGCTCTATCAATTGTTGATAATAGGCATAATAGGGCAAATAGGGATAATCCGGCAGGCGTCATTCCCATATTAAAATATTCAAAGAATTGGTCTTTTGTTTTTTGGTTAACTCTTAAGGGGCCTCGCAATGGCATTGATTTAAGGAGAATCATTTAGGCAATTTCTAATCTCGTCGTCGCCAACCTAGATCTGTGTGTTAGTCGTAGATGATTATTAGTGTGTGTGGCGTCCATGCGGGTCAATTGTAGTGGTGCGGAGGGCTCTCGCACGCACTCGCACACACATGTCAATATATAATAATATTGTGATCATGAAAAAATGCTTATTAGTTATTTTTCACTTAAACATACGATTCTAATTCCAACAGTACGTCGCAACGGTTACCTCGATTTTCATTCTGACAAAATATTCTTATTTTCCACAACATGTACGAGGGATCGATCGAGGCACATTTTTAAAATTGTATTTAGTTAATTAAATATTTAAGTTGGAAATTCTGTATTTTTTTTTGATTTTTTTACAATTTTTATTGCAATTTAAATTACAAAAATTAAAAATGTGGCTCGATCGTTCCCTTGTATATATTACGGACAATCAGAATATCTTTTCAGAATGAAAATCGTGATAATTGTCGACACGTATCGTTGGAATTAGAAACAGTAGTTTTTGACAAAAAAAAGACTTGGTAGTGAGGCCCCTTAAATAACTGTACGCCTCCCCAACATTAATTGAATGTTGATGTTCAAAATTAATCTATTCGGAATAAAAATAAAGTAATTAGTAATTACCTATAATGGAAATACACTAATACCATGCATGTACCTACCTATAATCGTATTATACATACTAATTGTATTATAATAATATATTAATTTATGAAGATTAACTATAACATTTTTTAGTTTGATTCAATATAATATTATGTCTCTTACCTTTATTTCAGTATTCAAGCCGTCTTTTAACAAATTATCATTTTTGATAGTATTTTTCGTAATTTTTTTGACAAAAATTGTAATATAGTAGCATCACATTTTAGACTCCGATTACGTGTTTTCATTTCCAAGCTTTTTGATTTATTTTTTTCATTATGTTGACACTTGTTTATTTTTTTAAACAAAAATCTTTTGGGATTTATAATTTTACGAGACACAATCCAGTTGGTCAACGTTTCTTCTGAAAACTTGATAATCCAATCTTGAACTAATTTCGATAAATCATTATTAATATCAAAGACAGTCCGCAACACAGCATTGAAATGTTCACAAGTTTTAACATCACAATTTAAAACAACACAAGATGTATCAAACTTAAAAATTTGACTAACATCCATTTTTACTTTAATGAAGTATCTAATAACTAAGCATCCACATTTAACTTATAAATTAAAATTACCGCAATAAATAGGTATATATGCCACATAGAACGTTGTGAACACACAAACCGATATTTACAATTTTATCTAATTTAGGTACATTTTACAGACGAGTTCGATAGTTACAATGAGCACACAAATAATTGCTATCATAATCGTAATAAACTTTTAAGATAAAATTTGGTAGAAAAAGGTTGTAATAATACTACTACATATAAAGCAATACCTATAGTACCTAGTACCTACCTAGCCATAACTATTAATATTGATACCATCATTTCGAGTTGAAGGAAACATTATGAGATAACTTAACAATACAATTTATATTGGGTAATTCCACAGCGTAATATATAACAACAAAATAACAACACTGTGTGTAACACGTGTATCAGGCTTTATTGTAAGGATTTTTTCCAACTGAACAAATAAAATATATATTACAGTAATAAGTGGGGGACTCTACACTAAATACATTGTTTAAATTATATAAAAAAACTTTACACGAAAAATTGTCAAACTGATTTTATTATGAATTATTGAGTAAACAATTGGTTATTAAACATAATAATAATAATATTTTTAAACATTTATGAATGAAAATTATTTTTTAAAATTGTTTGTTTTTGGAATGCTTTTCCGCTTTATTATTTTCAATATCTTGTAAAACCCTTTTTAGACCTTGAGTTTTAGATGCTTCTGCGAACACTCCTTTGAACCAACTTTGTTCGCGTGCTTTAGGAGTATCTTTCACTCGGCGACATGTTTCATTAGTCCACGATAAAACCTAATTTCTTGGGTCCCATAAGGATAAAGGTGGCATGTTGAAATGAACAAATAAATATTCATTCTCCGATAATTATTAATAATCGATAATAATTTTGGCAAAGTAATTTTTGTTGCATTTCTCAAGTTCACATATTAGCTAAGCCAACTGCACATTTTATATTTCCTAATGCACAATTAGTGTCCTACTGCACCTTACAATAAAGATTGACACATACATTATATTAAATAGGTATATAGTCATGTACGATGTACCTAACCACAACGCTCAGCCTGATTAAAAATATTTAACTGATAATATTGTTATTAGTAATACTTATATTATGACTATAATATAATGTGACGAACACAGTAATAAAAACAGAAATATGTATTTATTGTTAATTTTTTAAAAATTACGAACCCTATGTGGGTTCAGCGTATCGCGCTGAATCAGATTAGGATCGGTGAAAACATATATACATCATGCAGATAGGTCTTGGCTCCGCCCCCTGCGCTGAAACGTACTAGGATCGGGAAATACGCTCGCGGTGAAGGTACTGGAAATTAATTACAATCTATTTTATGATTATTATTATTATTAATAAACATACAATTTGAGCCTGAAACATTAGCGTAATTCCATTAAATTTCAGCAGGTGCACAACTTTTATTGGTCCAATATTCATAAAGACAAATTAAAATGCTCATATTTAAAACTGTTTTGCTTACATAGTTTCATACAATACTATATGGACTAGGTATCTTTTTATATTTGATAATAATATAACATATAATACAAAATATAAAATTAAAATATCAAAATCTGTAGGTATATTTTAAACCTGGGCTTGAAACCGATATTGGATACTGATTTTGAATAATAGTTGAAACCGTGAAAACCCGAAATAGATATCAAAACTGAAAACGAAATCAAAAATACCAGTTAGGAAATCGGAAAAAAATAAATAGGTACCGATATCCAAAACCAAAATCTAAATTTAGTCTTTATAATATTATGATATATTATGATACAGTGAGACACCTTTCAGCTACCTATTTAATGAATTAGCGATCACGAAATTATTATACAAGTTATAACATTAAGTATTTTATTATTTGTACAGTTACCTATATGTAAATATGTTATAGCTTTTATAAGAAAATTCGAAAAATCAATAAATATATAATATAATATGTATGATGTATTTCATATTATGAAATAGTACCTATTGTAATTTAATAGGTATAAAGTTCAGCTTCTGCGGGTGCAAAAGAACATCTTTGCACCTCCTACATAATACCAGGGGGTGCAAGTGCACCGTCGTGCACCCCCGTAATTACGCCACTGGCCTGGAAAATAATTCTAACGCCATATTATAATATGTTATGAAGTATACAACGACGAAGATAAATGCTTTGAAAACAAATAACGGATATTAATTAATAATAATCATTATAATATTCTACTAAATGTATCGATTTTAATAGTTTTGGGCTATTTAACATAACCTAAGATAACCTCTTAGCTGCTATAAACTTGTAGTATACCTACACATCATAATATATATTATATTCTACGTGCACCTAAATTGTCAAATTACCGTCACCCGTAAATGTTTAGTTTCAAAATATTGTTCACACGACGTCGATATATAGGACGAAAATTGTGAGTCTATTTTGTTCGCATACATCATTTCTCACGGAGCATTTTTTTTTTTTTCTGTGGAATCATAATATTATAACAGTATAAAACAGAATTATATTTTATAAAATATAGAATTTAATTTATGATTTCAATATGTATTAGGTATTTGCTCGGGTATTTGAATCACATTTTTTTTATTGAACTGTTATAATTAACTAGTGTCGTATATTGTAGACAGTATCGTCAATATATTATTATTTAATATATATGTAATAGAGGTGGGAACATTTTAAATTGTAAACTATTGACATAGGTCAGTGAAGTAATATGTGCTGAGGCAGCAATAAGATATTACTATATAAAACCGCCGTACGCGCAGGCACGAGGGCCCCTTTGTCGTTGAGTGATTCGGCGAGGACGTAGGTACGACGGTTGTACGTGTGAAACGTCGATCGTAGTACGGGCTAGGCAATCTGAATTTGCTAAGTGTTTCATTTATGTTTGTTTTAATATAATAAAAGTGTGTCCGACCTAAAAACCCTAGTTGAGTATTATTTCAAAGTCTTTTTCGTTCTTCCCTTTAATATTGGAACAGTGCTCAGACCCACACACCTATACTCAATGAGGTTTATTACAAACTGAACAGTGATCTGGTTGTGGCGTCCTAATATTCATTCCAAATTAGGAGAACTGACAAAACGCATACCATCGTACCTCAAAGGTTAACAGTGCTAATCTGAATTTATTCTAGAGACAGTCATTAGCATAGAGCGTACGAGGGTAAGGTATAAAGTTGGTTTACTACGTATTATCCGATACGGGTGATAAGACACTAGGTATACAATAATATTTAAAAATATATACCTACCACCTTTAAAAGTAATTAAGATGGCTAGAGCAACCAATTTTTTCATACATTTAGTTCAATACGCAAAATAAAATTAAGCGTACATCCGCAGTAGTTCGATTTCAATTTTAAAAAGTAAATTATTTTAGCGATTGCGATGAATTATATTTTAAGTTTGAAATGTCTTTACATTTGAATTTTACCAATGTCTGCAACATGATTATGATTGCGGACACATCTTTTCATGACTTATATTTGTTTTAGTTAACAATTGACTCGTATCAAAATTATAATAATATTATATATTAGGTACTGTCGTTTACTTTACTATACCTATACCACCGGTTAAATATGTCATATTATAGTTTTAAGTTTAATGCATGTTGAAAGTGAAGCTTGACGGACTAATGATGTTAGCCTTAATATAATAAGTAATAACACGACGATATGATTATGTATAAGCATAATATATAATAACGTACAACTGGACAATTAAACTGTGACAGTACACACACATCGTATACACTCTGTACAACGACGCCTGTGCAAGTGAATATTACATACATCAAAGGCCCTATATATATGCACGACCGAGGTCATGTTACATCCATGAAGAGAGTGAGTCTTATGCTTGTACATAACTAGTTACTATATTGTACACACGTGTCAAGGCTGACTACATGTACTACATATTAATTGTATATTTCAACAATGCAAATCATTTTTATTACTAGTATCAATATTACTATAGTCAGAGTCGCTTGCAAAATAGATAAGTATACTCATATAAACATTATTATTAGACAATAGTTACTACACATTTCTCGTTTTATCTTTAGTACCTACTACTACCTTTTTTTTAACTAAAAATAATTAATATATAAAAGGATGTTCAAAAGAAAAATTAGGATGGTTAATATTAAAGAATTTAAAATATTCAATACAAGCATCTATTTAATTAAAGAGAATATAAATTTAAAAAAAAAAATGATCTCTTTTATATAGTTTTATAACCGAAATTGTGTCATGACGTATGTTATACTATACAGTATACACATTTATACTTCATGATTTTAGCTACAATAGTTTCTATCAATTCCTGCAATAACACATTATCTGTAAAATATAAAGTGCATCTATGAGACTCAAATATATGATGCACACCATTGCACCCCACAGATGACGATACCCTGATGTCACAACGCCTTGACGCTGACATATTTTATTTTATACACAAATCAATAAATTGTTATTTCTCTCTTCTCCTGGTATAATGATATACGATGTATAATATTATGTTTTACCGTAAGCGGTCTCAGGTGGGTTAACAGCTACGTTGTTTTGCAAAATCTCAGTTTAATGGAACATACTCACGCTCAGCAACGGGTGAGTAATTAATTTATTAAAAAGAAACATATAAACACATGCCGCGCGGAGGCGGCGGCCAACCGGCTGACCGGCTCGCTTATGAAAGCGGGCGGCCCAGCCGAGCGGCTGAGTGAGCACTCTCACTCTCAACCGCGACATCCCACAGCTGCACACGGGGAAGCCAACCAACGCACCGCTCGCTCCCACACATTATCTCAACGATATGGATGGAGGCAGCAAAAAACCCCCACCCCCGGGCCGACTCCTCCGGTCGCTACCAAGTCGATTGAAATACCGTGGGTCAAAGCTAAAGATGGCAAACTTTACCCTCTCGGGCGCCCGCTGGACGGCCCCGAAGGTAGACGCTACTTCATAGACACGCTAGGAGAGTTCCATCTGATTTCCCCCCCCCCCCCGTCACCCACCTATAGTAGAAAAACCTAGTAGGAAAAGGTCCAACCGAGAGCCGGACGACCGATTCGAGATCGCTGTCACCTAACCTGTCACGTGTCGCCAAGTCGTGTTCTCGCGAGCGGCGCGCCTATACCTCGGGTTGGGAGCAACCCGCGAAAGGCCACCAGTCAGCTGCAGTGTCCTTTGACTAGCAGGAGTCGTGGGCGTAACCCGGCCTCAGGGTCTGAGGGCCGTCGCGGACGTGAGTACAGGCGTCAACCCTTAACTGGGGGATCGCCCGGGGACCTTAGCCAGTTCTCGGGTGGTCAAGCCCGGCCGTGGACTTAGCCGTTTGCGGTCGGGACCGAACTTCTGGAGGTTGGCAACTCCGGTCGTAGGCGCCAGGACCATGGACAAGGGACAAACCCCGACCAGGCCGATAAAACGGATGCAACTCACGGCTAGCCCGACGTGAGTCAGAGGGATCAGGGCTAAGCCTGGCGGCAGGCGATAAAACGCAAGGGAAGGTCACCCGCAAACCACAAGATGAATGCGAATAAAACTGAACATACCCCAAGTGATAATCCGGCTATGCCGGCAAATTCACCTCCCGAGGGAGCATTGGCCCACGGATTTTCTGGGGGCCAATTCGCTATTCATCAACGGTCGGTGCTGAGCGGCCCGGCTGACGAGCCTACGGGCGATAATATTGACTACACCATTCTTGACTCCACTAGTGACTTTCGATCTATGACCTTAAATTCTGACACTCCTATGGGAGTTATACTTGACGCGGGCGGTTACGTCCTAAGGCTAAGAGGCGGCGCTAACAGCGATACAGATACGCCAGCTAAGGATAGCCTCGCTAATGACGATGGGGGAACGTTCGAAACCCCTTATGCCTACCCTCGAACAAAAAGGAAGCGTGTGACCGACGCTGACTCTAGCCTTACGTCTGATGGCTCTCGCGGCGCTCGCTCCGAAAGCATCGAAAGGCACTGTGACGAAGTTGAATCAAATATCGCTGGCACCAGATAGTTTATTGTTGATATGGTCAAAGAAGCCAAAGTTGGTAGACGCTGGGCTGAATCTCTGAACCATCACCTGGATGAGATCATGGTTGGAAACCGTCGGTTAGGAAGGACCGGGACCATGATTCTGGGAAGCTTTGACGAGAAGAGGGAAGAGCTGCGCTCCACCCAAAAGCATCTTAGGGACCTTTACTGCGACTTGGGCGCTCTCAGAGAGCAACTCAGACAGGTGTCGATGGAGAGAGACTCAGCCAGAGTTGAGTTATCCCTTCTCCAATCAGCAAGACAAAAAACGGTCTCTCCACCAGTGGAATTCATGGACTTAGATGACGACTGCATATTGGTTGTAAGTCCGCCTGGTGCCAGCTATGCCGATCGTACCAGGGCCACACCGCGTCAAAAGGATAACGATAGAGATGAATTTCCTAGGCTCAAAACACCGAAACCGGCGAGACCAATCAAACCGAAGACCGGCCAGAAGGCCAGCGCTTTGTCTGCGCCCGCTGTAGCTATATCAGCTACCAAGAAAAATAAAGTAAAGAACAAAAATAATAATAATAAAAACGACGCTAGGGACAGAGCCGTAAAAGTTGGGCCTAGGTTTGAGGTCACGGTGGAGAGCGATGATTTGCAAGAAGTCCGTAAATCTATAGAACAAAAGATCAAGAACCCGAAAGTCCGTTCGGTCCGATCGAGAAAAGGCTTAATCCTCTTTCCGGAGGACGATGTAACCGGTGGTGCTCTGCGGCGCACATCTCACCTCCGAGAAATTGAGCCCCGGAAACCAAGGCTAATAGTCAAGTATGTTGACAGGTTGCTCGATGGCGATGAGATACCCTGGGCACTTGTCAATCAGAACCCGGGCTTAGAGCTCGCCGATTCTGACATCGAAAAAGTGAAACCATTATTCAAACTGGGTCCCCGCGATGGCCACGTTGTGCATTGGGTCTGTGAGGTCCACCCGGACATCTTGGGCAAACTCGAAGGGAAGAGCGCTTACCTGGGCCTCACCAAATGTAAAATGAAAGTCCATTCCCAAGTCACGCAATGCTACAACTGCGAGGGCTTCGGCCATATCGCTGGTTCGTGCAAGGCGGATAAGCCAACCTGCAGAAAGTGCGCTCAGTCGCATGAGTCTAGAACCTGCAAGAGCGAACAAATCAAATGTGCCAACTGTAAGGGGTCTCATTTAGCCTCGAGCAAAATCTGCATAGCGAGAGAACGTGCCATTAGGACTATTACCCGCCGAACGGACTTTGCGGTAAACATCAATTAAAATGCTTAAAATCATCCAGCATAATTTGAACAGAGACCGCACTGCCAGCCACCAACTCAGAGTTGCCTGCAGAGACCTCACAGCCGATTTCGTTCTGGTCCAAGCACCATTGGTCACGAACGGCAAAATATATGTCTTCGAACGCTGTAAATGCCACATCAGCAAGAAATCAGGTGCCGCCGTTATTGCTCTATAGGACCGTTTTCAATGTATTGGTCTCAATCAGTTCACCTCTGACTATACAGAAGCGGCAAAGATTACGTACGGTAACAGGCCTTATGACTACGTGGTTCTAGTGTCGTCATACTTCAAATACAATGTGCCGACAATCACCCATTTTGAGCGCCTAGAACAAATATTGACAATGGACACCCGGGCTCTAATTGCCGCTGACACAAATGTCCATTCGACCTCCTGTAATCGCCGGGGCAGATTAACCGAACAGTTGATCGAAAAACACAACCTCTGCATAAACAACTCGGCGGGTCAGATGAATACGTTCTGTCGGCGAGATGGCCGCACATCAAATATAGATGTTACCTTATCAACTGAAAACATGAAAAACACAATAAAGGACTGGTCCGTCAGTGACCTCACTGATAGTGATTACAGGGTGATCGCTTTCACAATAAAAACGACCAAATATAAAAAGCCCGCGTCCCACGAAAAACGTTATATCCTTAAGACGGCTGATTGGGATAAATTTAAGACCGCTCTTCTTGGCGAAATTGGTGGAATTTCGGAATCCTCGATTGAATCTACGGCCATGGGCATCAACAGGGCACTGTCCGTAGCTGCAGACCAGGCCATTCAACGAAGGAAATCTGATGGTACCCCCAGTAAAAATATCTGGTGGTCCCCAGTCCTCTCGGCGCTTCGGCAAACACTTGTACGAAAAAGACGCTTAGGGCTTAGGGATAGCAACAAACAAGAATATAACAAACTCCGTAACGAATTCCTCAGGGAAATAAGGAATCATAAAATCCTCGCTTGGAAATGTTTCGCGGACGACTTAAACTCCAACCCATGGAGCAAAGCCTTCAGATGGGCGAAAGGCGGAAAATCGATAAGCTCCATGCCTAATGTTATGACTAGGCCGGATGGTTCACTCACCTCCGACTGCAGGGAAACTGCTGAGCTCTTTCTGGACACGTTTGTCCCCGCAGACCCAGACCAATGCGTCTTGGAGTCCCATGGTCCTTTACAGCTCAAAATCGCTCCAAGTCCTGAGGTGATAAAAGCCGCTATATGGCTCATGCGGACAAACGGAGCCCCCGGTGCTGACGGTATTACGGCAGGAATGCTTAGGAAAGCCTGGCCAGCGCTCGGTGACATAATCACCAACCTTTTTGGTAGATGTCTCCAAGATGGGATATTTCCTGAGTGTTGGAAAATTGCAAAGCTCATAATAATCCCCAAACCGGGCAAGCCGATAGGGACTGCGTGAAATCTTTCCGGCCAATCAGTCTGCTACCCGTACTAGGTAAGGCCTTAGAAACGCTTATCATACATGACATAGTAAAGGAAACTAGTCTGGATTCCTACACTGACCAACATAGGGCCACGACGGGGAAATCGACTGTAAGCGCCATCAGGAGCGTCTACGGAAAACTCGCGTCCAAATCATGACACATGTTTGGAACTTTCCTTGATATCACGGGCACATTTGATAATGTGAAGTGGTCCCCGCTGATATCACAAATGAACAAACTGGGCGCGTCTCTTGGGACAACCAGAATGGTGAACTCGTACATGCACAACAGATGGGCCGACCTAAGCTTCGAAGGGATTCACTACCGTCGAAGGCTCGACCGAGGGTGCCCCCAGGGGTCACAATTAGGTCCAACCTTATGGAAGGTGGCTATGACCCCGATATTTGGAAAAATCCCAAAAACGGTTACAACCAAAGTAGTAGCATACGCAGACGATATCCTGCTCATGATCGGAGCCGCTAGACCGCGAACCGCATTCAATCGCATTGTGATGAATCTAGATATCCTCACAGATTGGGCCCGCATGTTTGGCCTGGAATTCTCGGCCAGCAAGAGCCAACTCTTATCTCTTAAAGGTGGTCTTAAAGCCGGCTACAGCGTCAACTTTTACTCGAGAGATGACGCTCCCATGATTGAGTCCACGGCCACTGCCAAATACTTAGGAGTGTGTCTCGACTCCAGAAGGAGTTACTGGGAACACAAAACTATCAGCGCCAAGTCAAAGGACATGTACGGCCGCATGAGAAGGCTCCGCTCCGCGAATTGGGGCATGGGTTAATTAGCTGCTAGGACCATATACAGAGGTGTGTTCCTTCCTCGCATAACCTACGCCGCGGAAGTTTGGGACACAGGTACCAAACTGATAAAGAGCCAGAAAAAGCTTTTCAGCGCCCAGAGAGCACCTCTACTGGCAATGACGGGGGCATACAACACTGTGTCGACAAACTGCCTCCCTGTAGTTGCAGGGACATTGCCTCTAGACCTAGAGATAAGGCTGCATGCTCTTAAATGAAAACACCTGAGTCAAGAGATGTCACCCGAAGCCTTTTCTACAGCGGAAAACGATCTCTTTGACGAATGGCAGCTCCGGTACGACACTTTGCCTAAAGGCAGTTGGACGAAAAAGATGATCCCGTCGGTCAGGTTGAGGTTCACTGGATCACTTTACGACGCAACTTCTAACTGGCCATGGAGATTTCCGTGCTAAGCTACACAGCTTTAACCTTGTGGCAGACCCGATATGCGAGTGCGACCGCAAACCGGAGACGGTCAATCACGTTCTGCGTTTTTGACCTAGGACCAGAGGTGCCCGCAACATACTCAAAAGAGCCCTCAGCGATGAAGGCGTTATATGGCCACCAGCGGATGGCGCCTTCCTCACTAATAAGGCAACGTACGAAGCTCTAGTGAAATTCGCAAAAGAAGTCATGACAAACCGGACGGATCGGTAGAAATAAGGAAAGTCAAAGACGACAGCCAGTTAAGGTTAATAAACCTTTATGGCCAGAACGCCGCCCCATCCAGCGATGGAAGGCACAGACTCGGGGTGTTCCCGATTAGCATGAATGGCGTAAGCGGCAGAAACGGGGGAACACGCCCAAGCGCGTTTCTGGCCTGGGACATGCTCATACGTCAGGGACGCGGAGTTCGGCCCTGTTGCGGGGGCCGTACAGAATTCCGCATCAGTATTCCCTGCTTGTCGTAGAAAGCGACTAAAAGAGAAAATGACCAGTCGGGGTAGGCGCCCGGGGCGCGGACGCACCGAAACCTACGGGGATTAGGGCGTTGAGAGGTTTTGACCGCGACCTCGTGAAGAGCGGGTCGGTCACTGGGCTTAGCCACCTGGTGACGCCTCTGGGAGGCGGAGTTGGGCCCACTGTGAGCCCGTGGTACACGGCCCGAATCTCGGGAGGACCATAAGCAGAGGCTTGCCGCCAACGACGCTTCGTCCGAGCATCCCACCAATGATGTGCCTTACCTAATGGGAGGCGAGAATGGTGCTTCGGGATGTGAGGGGGCCCCTCGGTGTTGAGCGATTAACACCGAGCCCTCACACGTCGGTCGTGGTGGACACTGCCTCGACCGACGGCGGATTGGTTTCGAAGTGGCAGTTTGCAGGAGCATACTATGTGGTGATAGGCCGCACGCTTGGCCAGGGGAAGGCGGCCGAGTGACGGGACCGGGCGGACTCGTACGGCGACAGTCGGCCGGGAAAGCACGGTCCCTCCTTAGCGCTCACCCAGCTTATCGTTGGAGCTATATGTTGCGAAGGTTGTCCGTGACCAAAAACGGAAAGCAACATGGATAGATTGCGGCCTCACCAAGTGGCGAAAGGCACCTGTATGCCCTAGCCGGATGGTACGGGCGCACCGGGGTATTCCTCCGGGCGCGTCCGGTGCTCGTTGTTCTTAGACGACGTGCGGTCGTCAGTCTCCGGTGGTCCTCTGGATATGCAACGGTGTGGGGAGGGTCCGTCGGTTGGCGGTCGTATGCCTCTACGGCCCTTGACTAGCACCTAGTGCTAATATAAGGTCCGTAGTTGTAGTCGGATGACTTGCCGTAAGGCTTGTCGGATGACGTCAAACCCGGGAGCTTTGTGTATGACACGTTTATTATATTCTGTTTATAGTTCTGTGGAACATAATTTTAACGTTTTGCTGTAACATAACCGAATTGTAAGTCACGATTATATTCCATTTATGGTATTCTGGAATGTAATATTAATATTCCTATAAATTGTTCCAGTTATATTTTTTTTGGGTTCTTGTAAATAGATTAAAATATTATATTCCCGTAATGTTTTTTAATAGTTTCATGGATATTAACCTATATATTATAAAGGTGGGCAAGTGGGTGTTGGTACCTATTCTGTACAGTACGTTAAAAATGCTTCACCTTAATGGATGGTGTTAAATTTGTTTATTAATTAGTGTGTCAAACTTGAATTAAATTGTAAATCAGTACATATTATGAAAAATGATTTAGAGTGGATTCTACCTTTCAGTCTAAATTAGTTATTACTTATTGTAATATACATTTTATACTGCAGTTATAGTAAGTACAAAGTATTTACCTACTGGCTACTGATGTACCGTATATACTGGTGTGACTCTGTAACTTTTTTTTTTATGTAGAAGCCGGTAGGGATCTTTATGGTTTTAAAGGTTTTAGTGGATTATATTGCTGTAATTTAGATCAAGTGTGCAATATACGCTTTTATATTTGCTGGATCGAAGAGCTGTATTACAATGTAACCTGTATCCGGATTAAAATGTTATTATTTATTAACTCAATAGGTTCGTTATTAATAAATGGCAAACTGCACCAGTCTTGTTAAAAATACTTTTCAAATATATTCAGAATACGTATTTAAATTTTAAATACTTGGTGAAATTTGTATTTAAATACTTTTAAAATAAAGTATTTAAATATAAATACAAATACCTCAAAAATCAATAAATTAATAATTAATAATCAATAATTTAATCAATTCAATGTCTAATCGACTATAACCACTACTGGCACTACTACCCATGTCATGAAGTACTATTATTTAATATTTTCTCTAATCAAGCCAACTAATCTATTGTGCTTATTTTAAAAATATTTTATACAAATTTTAGTATTTTACCTATAAATAAATATGACAAAAAAAAAAAAAAAAATTCAACAACATTAATAGCTGGATTAATTCCGATATCTTATATTTAATTTATAAACATCTACCACAGTACCACCTATTACATAACAAGAAAGACTATTTAAAGATTTATTAGTAATTGGAATTTGGAGTAGACCACGATAAGGAAAAAAAGTTTTAAGTATTCTAGAATAAAAATACAAATAAAAAGTATTTTTTAAGCATTTAAAATGCATTGGTTAAAAAGTATTTAAATAGTAGTATTTAAATACAAGTATTGGAATACTTAACAAGACTGCCCTGCAACCCACTTGTGCGATACTAGTAAATCGCACCGCGCGACCTATTCAGACCGGTTTTCAGTGGATTATTGTCAGATTTATTGAAGGGGTGAGTTTCACGTGACCTACAAACCACTGCCTATACTCGTATACTCATAGCTACGCAGTGCCGTTTTGCCTGATTAGCTGCATATTACTAGATTTGTTGACATATATTATATTGTTCAAAATTAATTACACTTATTTATTTATTAGGTAACTTCATGCTACAATTATTCGTGTGACAACCACGATTAAAGATATACAGGTTGAAAATCGACTACTGTTAAGGTGAATTACGAAATGGCTACCAATAATTAACCAGTGGAACTCCAAGCGGCAATATTACAATTAACCGATTATAAATATATAGGTGTAAAATTAATTCTAAACGTCGACACATATTGTTGAGTGTTGACATCAAGCGCCACTAGTTAATTATTATATTGTATATCTTTAATCGTGGTGACAACTTAGGTGTGTACGTTCTTCCGTATCTCCAAGTATCTCTAACTGCTATTTTTCGTGTGGGAATATACATTCGCCAGTTTCTTGTGATATATAAAAGTTGTGACCTGATTGATATCTACCATTTTATTATCTTTATATAATATTATAGTTTAATATTCAAAGACATCACTCTTCCTAAGAAATGAAACCTGTTGAAATATATAATTAATATAGTAGTATATGTAGTCAGCCTGGACACGTGTGTACAATATAGTAACTAGTTATGTACGAGCATAAAACTCACTCTCTTTACGGATGTAACATGACCTCGGTCGTGCATATTATATATAGGGCCTTTGATGTATGCAATATTCACTTGCACAGGCGTCGTTGTACTTCACGCGATCTGCAGACACTGCGAGCCCTGCGGTATACGCTAGTGCGGTAACTCCTTTAGAAGTTTAAAGTACCAACGAATAATATTATTCAATTACAACAAAATAACTAAAATAGTTATTCTAGGTTTTTTAATATGTAATTTCGTCCAAATTTGAATTTAAAATGTCTGTAAAAAATAACTGTGTTCATATATTTTTTAGATTTTTTGGTTACAGTATGAACTATTTATGAGAACCTTTGTTTTAAATTTGCAATCGTTAGCTATAAAAACTGAACATTTTATAATTTATTAATTACAATAATTGATAATTTTCGAGATTTTGATACATTTTGTCAAAATTCCAACTTTAAATGTTTTTAAAAAAAAATTGTACTTATGTATTTTCAATGTTTTTGAACTAATATTGTAAAGTAGTAACAAATATTATATTAAATAACTATGTCAATTTCATTGGAACGCTTTTACAATAGGTAACACAATTTATTCTACTAATAATAATAAAAATAAAAATAGTTATATATAATTCATTATTAAAAATAATATAATTATAATAATAAAAATAATAAACATTTTAAGAATAAGAATCTTTTTTAACTTTAAACAATATAGCTAATATTTTGCTTAAAATTTAAATATACTTAAGCTCTTTAGCGGTTTTGTGTTGGTTGACCTCTGTCAAATAAAAAGAAAAAAATTAATATTCAGTTCTGTATATTATCTACAGTGGATATTGCATTAATTTATTCCACCAAGGGACGCAATATTACACCATGATCTATGATCATAATTGTACAAATTAATTTTGTATAGGTCAATGAATAATTTGATGTGAGAAATTTTTTTCTTTCAAATCAAATACTCCAATAGGTCCCATGCTTTATTAATATTGTATAATAATTATATGTTCCCCAATCGTAAAATATCACTATTCAACTCGGAAAATAAGATAGACTAGATAGAGCAATTTGTACTTACCGAAGACTGTTGGATAAATGACGAATTCCAATTAATGTTTTTGTAATGAGTCTGAAAATGTATTGTGATTTGAGCAAAACTAAGGATACTCGAAAACGTGTTCACAACAACAGGTACACAATGCCGTGGTCGATGGCGTCCATCAGGTATCAGTAAATGTAGGGTACGTGGTGTGAGGTTAGGGGAGGTTGTTATCATTAATGTGCAGTGATGCAATATCATAAGTAACAAAATTATTTATTATTTAATTTCATTATAATGATCTATTAACGAATACGGTTGTAACAAGACATAATTACCTAACTCATTATAGTAACATTTACTACCAAGTACCTATACTCTATTCAGAATAAGAACAGGGAATTTCCGTTGACTTCACGCGATCTGCAGACACTGCGAGCCCTGCGGTATACGCTAGTGCGGTAACTCCTAATCACTTATAGACGTCATGATGATAACGTAGTGGTGGACTTGTGAAATAGTAGCAGCCATAAACGATATAATGCAAAGCGTACAATAATAGGAATACATTTTAGATTAAAGTTAATTCGCATTATACTGCCATATTAAACATGCAAATGTATACAATCTGGCTCAAGAGAGTTCGTATCTAAAATCGTGTCTGTGGTTGCCCATCGTTTCTCCTCCATACATGGAGGTACATCATACACCATCTGGTAGTCGGTCGACAGTTTTGTAAAATATTTGAGTAAAAGTATTCAAATACGTTTATCTATTGAATACTTTTTTAAATACTTTTAATTTTTAAGTATTTTAATGGTTTTTTAAATACTTTTTTTTATTTTTTTAATTCCTAATTTGTTTCTACTTATAATTATTGTTGTAAAATAAAAAGACCATGCCGTCATGATTTTACTTTAACATTATAACAGTGTTATATCACATAATTTATCATTTATGCCTTACAGTAAATTTGGTACCTATCGATTTTCTTCGATTAAATGTTTTTTTCTTCAGGAGACAGTTTATTGTCGACGATGTTCGAAACGATACATTTTCGGTCGGTATCACTATTAGTTTAAAGTCAATAAAAAAATGTATACGTGAAATGCTTCTGCTTAGCGGCTATTATACTATTGTGAATATTAGCTCGTGGCTGGTTACCATACAGGGTTAATGAGGCGAAGTTTCATGAGATAAAAGAAATCACGCACTCAATCACTCATGTGATATTATGTACGTATATCATTTAATTAATTTTGTTATGTTTCATACTGTTAATTAATTGTTAATCTCATTTTATGTTATGTCTTATCATTTATATCTTTATCACCAAGTTAGGTAGAACCGCGGTTGTAGTTCGATATGCCTCCAAGATCTATAAAGAAGAGGTTAGCTAGTAACCAGAAAACGCGGTGATTGGCCGTTACAAGTGACGTAGTCAATAGACCTTATTAATAATATTAATTTACGGTCTATAGGTGGTTTATATGCTGTAGGCGCATAAACATTTTTAATTATAATTAAACTATAATATGAATGTGAATATATTTATTAATAATGTAATTATTTAATAAATAACCAATTTATTATGTAAATGTCGCATCCATTAAGTAAAATAGTTATATTCAGCTCCACCGGAAACCGACTGGACTCAGGAGCCTCCACTGTCGGACGAACCCGGTCATCAGCCTGCTGATCAGTTCACCCTGGAAGATCTACGGGACGCCTGCCTTCGGCTACCTGCTGGTAAAAACACAGGCCCGGACGGGATCCCTAACGAGGTCCTCCTCCGCATCTCAAGTTCCATACCTCAGGCTCTGCTGAGAACCTTCAACCACTGCCTGCCCCGGATCGAGTTTCCCACACGTTGGAAGACTGCCAGGCTCGTCCTCCTGCACAAGGGACCAGGAAAACCTACCCAGGAACCCTCCAGCTACAGGCCGCTGTGTATGCTAAACTCCACAGCTAAGCTGCTAGAACGGCTACTGCTGACGAGGTTGAACAGGCACCTCGACATGACCGGACAGAGGTCCGAAAACCATTATGGGTTCCGTCATGGCCGATCCACGGAGGACGCCACCGATCGGGTCATCTGCGCAGCTAACGGAGCCGCACTGAGCACAGTACAGCACCGTGACCTGTGCGTGCTCGTCTCCCTGGACGTACGCATGCGTTCAACACTGCTCCGTGACGACGCATTGATTCCGCTATCCGCGGGAAGCTGGTCCCTCCGCTACTAAACGGCATGATACGGTGTTGTGAACCCCTGAATAGTATTATATTATATTATGTTCACAGTATAAGAATAGTGTGTTGGTCGACGGCTCGTTGGCCGACACACAGGGAGGAGGTTAGTCAGTCGCATTAGAACCGAGCATCGTACTTAACGTATGTTTAAGAAGAGCATTTTATAACATTTTGTACAACTAGTAAGTGTTAACCGTCATAAAACCTAATTCATTAATAACAATCTAATCGTGCTTTAATTTATTTGTGTTGGAACCCCGGTTCCATAACATTTTTGGTGGCAGCGGTGGGATACGTGACAGCATACACTACCACGTCCGATTAAATTGATATTTTAGTAATAATAATATAGGGTGGTAAGGCGTTAGCCAACATTTTTACTAAGTGCAAATAATATTTAAAAAAGCATTCAGAACATTCAGAACATCGGACCAACAAAAAAAAATAATAAAAGAAACAGAATATTCCAGACAATTTGGTACGTATAAAGTGCGTATAATAATAAATCATAATACACGGGCCGCCGTCGCCGCCGTGTCGATAGTGTCGCTGAACCGGACGACACTTACGCACACGCACGCATTCACCGTGTGTGCGAAACCAAACGTCTGTGCCGCCGCCGCGTAATAATAATAATCGGTCGGGTATACGTTAGTATACGTGAGAGACCAAGCCACCGCGTCGTGTCGATATTTCCAACGTTGTTGTACGCACCTCCGCCGCGAGCTCATTGCCACCGTCGACGCGTACCAATTATTCGCACATTTAGAGGGAATTGTTAGGTTGTTAATGAGCGGGACATCCGAGAGTGAACTAGCGTCCATAGTTACAGAGGGTGAGGACCTTGGAGGGAACCAGTCAAACCTCCCTGCCCCAAACCCACGGACAAGTTTACCCGTAAGATTTTCAGACCCAAACAATCCTGACTCCGAACGTATTGTAGACGAGGTCGAACCTGACGATTTAATCGTGAGGATCAGCACGTCCGTTATAGAAATTACAAACCTCATACAAAACGTTTGCACCGCGTAAGAGGAAATAGACCGAGTCGACTGAAGAGCACAGAACATTCTTGATCAGACCTTTTATGAAAACAATATGGACGCAGAGGCTCAGTCACAATTGCTCAACGTGATGCCATTAGGACCACAGTTACCGGAGGGGACCGTCAGACCAAATACGTCAAACGAAGACCATTTTCAAGGGGTCAGTCAGAACATTTCCGTAGAAGACAGTTTTGGGATCCGAAGCCATTAGCTTGGAAGCAGCATTAAGATTACTTCCGAGTTCGTTCAATGGAGAACGTCTTCCTGGAAAAGTGTGAATTTGCATTGGCATGTACTAATAGAAAGGTACAAACTCGTCTCCTTCAGGGGATCACAGTGCGACTCACCGGGAAGGCCCGGTAAGCAATTAAATTCAGAACCATCAACACATGGACTGAACTGCGAGATACTCTGAAAGCCGCGTTGGAACCGCAACGCACCACAACGCATTTGTTTTCAGAACTATATTCCACGAAACAAAAAATAGTGGAAGACGTACTGACCTATTCTTCCCGAATCGAAAAATTACAAAACCTTATTATTAAGCAAGAGACTAGTGGAAAGACTCTAGAGGTAGCCAAAGCTTCGGAAGCAAGCTTTAAGCAGCAAGCAGTACAGGTGTTCATTGAAGGGTTAGGGCCCTTGAAAGATTTTATTTAGGCTAGAAATCCAACGACCTTGGAAAAAGCCATACAGGCATCCAGAGAAGAGGAAAGGGTTAGACGATCTGCGGAAGAAACAAAAAAACTATATACCTTACCAAAATAAGTGGAAGGGACAAAAGCCAAAGTATGTTTCCACTGTGGGAAGTCGGGACACTGGGCAAAAGACTGCAGATCACAAAGAACCTAAGGTAAATCCAACGGGTTCGACAAAACCAAGTTCAGTACGAACAATCACGTGTCAATACTGCCGTAAACCAGGAAACACAAAAGAAGAGTGTAGAAAACTCAAATATGTTCAAGGAAAAAGAAATAATCCAAGCAACCAGAACTCGGGAAACGAAACACCATCGACTTCCAACGGCGGGCGGTCGGCGGGCAGCCTAAAAACTGCCGTAATAACATTTCCATCATCTTCTTAAATGCCGTAAAACTACAGAAAATCGAACAAGACAATCAGAATCCTGAACCCCAGGAACAGAACCTCCATTACGACCATTTACTTTGTAAATACTCTCAGACAGTTAACCGACCATTAAGCTATTAGTCGACTCAGGTGCTGATGTGAATTTCATAAAGGTATCTTCATTGAAAGATGAAATAATGATTAGAGAACAGACGGAACAAAATCTTTCAGGAATCACCGGTCACACCCTACATTCATTTGGCACAACCGACCTAACTCTTTGTTTTTGAAGAGATGAAAGAACAACGGAGTTTCATGTGGCATCTTTCCCAGTACCAAACGATGGTATTTTAGGGAAACCATTTATAATTGGATTGGAAACGATTCTGAATTACAAGACTAAATAGTTAATCTTGACCGATAAACAAAATCCGTCAAATTTAGTTAACCCTACAGAACTTCCAAAAACATCTAACTCAGTGGGTAACTCAGAGACAAAGAATTCAACAGAAAATTTAAAGTCAAAAGAATTCAAAATTTTACTACAACCTCGTAGTGAAACGATAATTAGCATCCTTACTCCTAATCTAAAGGAGGAAGAAATCTACTTGATACCCGCACGGACCTTGGATGAATCAATCCTATGCAGCAACACGGTAAACCAAGTCCGTCAAAAACAGATCCTTATAGCCGCAGTAAATCCTACTGAACAATCCGTCTAACTCACAGAGGAGCAAATCAAAGGATTAAAATTTGAAAATTTTACAGAAGTTAAAGTACAAACCATACAAAAGGTAACGGAAACTTTCAGAACCGGGAAGATTAGTTGCCCTTAGAGGTTCACTCGACACTGAACATTTGAATATAGAGGAGTGAGAATCACTCATCTCAACGTGTGAACAGTACTCTGATATCTTTTATTTAGAGGGAGATCCATTAACTTGCACAGATGCTGTTTTTCACGAGGTAAACACTCCAGCTACTACCCAACCAATCAACGAAAGGCCGTACCGTCTACCTCATCGACACAAATATGAGATAAACAAACAATTGAAGCAACTCGAAGAGGATAATATTATAGCACCTAGCCGAAGTCCATGGAATACACCCTTACTGGTGGTTCCGAAAAAGGCAGACAAAGATGGTGTAGTAAAATACAGAGTATATGTAGATTTCCGAAAACTTAACCAAATATCAGTCAGAGATGCTTATCCACTGCCAAATATAATAGACATTTTAGACCAGCTTGGTAAGTCTAAGTACTATACCACGTTGGACTTGGCCTCAGGATAACATCAAGTTAGAATGCACCCGGAACATACTGAAAAGACAGCGTTCTCTACAGGCAAGGGACACTTCGAATTTCTTCGCGTTCCCTTTGGGTTGAAAGGTGCGCCTGCAACTTGTCAGGGTTTAATGAATACAGTCCTGGCCGGACTAACAGGATTAAAAGCATTCGTATATTTGGACGACATTATCTTCTACGCACTCAGTATAGCAGACCATTCCGAAAAATTAAAAGCAGTATTCGAACGTTTGAGAACATTCAATCTAAAACTGCAACCATCAAAATGCACCTCTTTATGCGCAAAGAAGTTAACTACCTAGGTCATGTCATAACTGACCAATATGTGAAACCAAATCCACAGAAAATTAAATGTGTAATATAACTTCCAATCCCGACCAACGAAAAGGAAGTTAAATCTTTCCTCGGTTTATCGGGATACTACAGACGATTTGTACCAGGATATGGACGAATAGCAAAGCCACTAACTGCTTTGTTGAAGAAAGACGTCATTTTTAAGTGGACAGATCTCTGCCAAGAAGCGTTTGATACGTTGAAGAAAATTATAACAACAGAACCTTTATTGCAATATCCGGATTTCACTAGGACCTTCAATTTAACATGCGACGCTAGCAATTATGCCATTGGCTGCGTTCTCTCGCAAGGCCCAATTGGCGCAGACCCTCCAAAAGCGTATGCATCACGGACTTTGAACCGTGCTGAATCAAACTACAACACGACCGAAAAGGAGCTATGTGCGATAGTATGGGGGATGAAACAATTCCGTCCTTACTTGTTCGGTCAGAAATTTAACATAGTAACAGACCATCAAGCTTTGAATTGGTTATTCAATATCAAAGACCCCGGATCCAGATTAACTCGTTTGAGGCTGAAGCTTGCCGAATATGAGTACGAGATCCATTTCAAATTAGGAGCCAGTAATACCAATGCGGATGCATTGAGCCGAATTAATAGAGTTGTGACCAGATCATCCAAATCTTCAAACTCTACGGAATCTCCAGATTGTAAAGAACCTTCAACTTCTACAGAACATTCAAGCTCCACAGAACCTTTAAGCAGCTATCAGAAATTTTTAAAAGAAAAAGTTACATTCACTCCAAATGTAGTGGAATCGAAAGGAGACATCTTCGAGACTGATCAAAGCATAGGTTTAGCACACTGTGTCTCTAGCGACCTTAAGATGACTAAGGGAATCGTTTTGAAATTTCGACGGAGATTCGGTGGATTAAATCAACTTCGCCGACTTCCAAGATCAGTCTCCAGATGTATTGTCTCTTCTGTTAAAAGACCGCAAAATATTTTACCTCGTTACAAAACAACATTTTTGGCAAAAACCCGAACCTGAACATTTCTTCCGAAGCTTACAGAAACTTCTAACTCTTTGTGAAGAACGAGAAATTAAGACACTCACTTGTCCACTGGGCACTGGCTTAGATGGACTCCAGTGGGAAACCGTCCGTTCTATGTTGCAATACATCTTCCGAAACTCTCAGGTAACTATACAAGTGCTAGTTCCTGAGACCTTCTCGGAGGAGGATCAGCTACAAATCATCCGCGAATTCCACGAGAATCCGATGGGAGGGCATCAGTGAACCACCCGTACCCACCAACGGATCTCTCAGCATCATAATTGGAAGGGAATGAGGAAACAGATAAAAAAATACATTCGGGAATGTGCCACCTGCCAGGCAAACAAGTCATCCAATCGAACTGCCCGTGAGCCAATGATTATAACCACCACGGCATCCAGACCTTTCGAAAAGAAATATATGGACATTGTAGGACCACTTACGAAATCCTACAATGGAAATGTGTTCATTCTTACACTTCAAGATGACCTTTTAAAGTCCGGGTGGGCCGCTCCGATGCAAAATCATGAAGCTAATACAGTTGCAAATTTTTTTGTGACTCAATTCGTGTGTCTACATGGTCTTTCTCAGAGCCTCATAACATACTGTGGCACCGAATTTCTAAGCAAGGTATTTAAGGAAGTGTGTCAATTGCTGAAAATTAAACAAACATCCACCAGTCCGTACCATCCACAAAGTAATGGATCATTTTAACGAAGTCACCGGACACTAGCAGAATATCTACGCAGTTTTGTCAATAAAGACCCACAGAACTGGGACACACATGTCCCATTCGCAATGTTCTGCCATAACTCCACGACACACACTTCCACGAAGTACCAACCATACCAATTAGTATATGGGCATCCAATAACAGTACCAAATTCATCTATGAAAAATACATAACCTCAATACAATTATGACGACTATTATTTTGAATTAAATAGGAACATGCAAGAAGCTCAGGCTCAAGCAAAAACTCATCTCTATGATTCCAAACAGAAATCGAAAGATCGTTACGATCAGAAAATCACACCTCTAACGATAAGTATAGGTGACAAGGTACTCATCCAAGAAAAAGCTAGTAAAGGTAAGCTAGCTCCGAAATGGATAGGACCCTATACGGTAATAGAAACTAACCCAGAATCTCCAAATATAACGATATTGAAGAAAAACAGACCAGTCACTCTGCACAGAAATTTATTAAAACAATTCTACGAAGGAAATTAAATGTTCTTGTTAAACTATTTTCAGCATCATTGCAATTACCACAGTTGGATATGCCCAACTACATAGGAAAA